CCCTGCGCTCTCTCTGTAGTGATCCCGGGCCAGAGGAGGAGGAGGAATACTGGGAGGGAGAGGGTTAATTCTGGGGTGAGGGGAATACCGGGAGGGAGAGGGTTAATGCTGGGGGGGATACTGGGAGGTAGAGGGTTAATGCTGGGGTGAGAGGAATACTGGGAGGGAGAGGGTTAATGCTGGAAGGGGATACTGGGAGGGAGAGGGTTAATGCTGAGGTTGGGGAATACTGGGAGGGAGGGGGTTAATTCTGGGGTGAGGGGAATACTGGGAGGGAGAGTGTTAATGCTGGGGTGGGGGAATACTGTGATGGAGAGAGTTAATGCTGGGGTGGGGGAATACTGGGATGGAGAGGGTTAATGCTGGGGTGGGGAATACTGGGACGGAGAGGGTTAATGCTGTGGTGGCGGAATACTGGGAGGGGGAGGGCTAATGCTGGGGGGATTATGGGAGGAAGAGGGTTAATGCATGTCCCTGCAAGACTTTTAATGTAAACACTGCTTTTTCAGAAAAAAATGCCTTGGAGAGAGCTGAGTGGATCGTTGATCACCTTCCTGCATCTCCTTTCTGCTCCACTGCGCTCTCTCTGTAGTGATGCCGGGCCAGAGTGACATCATATTCTCTTTCTCGGTATCATTAAACAGCGTGAGGGAGCAGAGAGTAACTGCAGAAAGATTATTGCTCCTTCGCGCTGCCTCCCACACTACCCTTGACGGACGGCAGGTTCCTACAATACCCCGGCTCCCATGCTATCCCAGGCTGGTGGCCGCCTCCCATGCTATACACGGCAGGTGGCTGGCTCCCATGCCATGCACGGCAGCTGGCCATCTTTGTTAAAGGGCTGCCAAGGTAAAAAAACTTATAGTCACCATGGCAACATGGAGCCTGGCATTTGTCGAACTCTTTAAATACTTTAAATATTTGTCACTTTACTTCCTGGGATTTTAAATACATTATGTTTGTTCCATATACTTAGTAAATATTAGGGCTATTCACTAAAAGGAACTGTACGTACTTCTAATTCATTATTATTCTTTGGTTTTAGCTGTAATATTTGTGGGTTGTGTTTTACCAGTGCCTCCTAACTGTGTGTGTTTTATGTCATTGTTACAGGCTCTGTCATCAGCATAAAGATAGAGAGGAGGAGAAACAGAAACAATGGGGTTCATATATAAAAAATGTCATAGTCTAAAAGTGGGGCAACAATAACAGAGATCATTGGAACCAGCTGACACTTTACATTTATGACTCGTCCCCTTTTCCATGTTTGCACCACTTTTTAGAGCACAACACTTTTTATACATAACCCCCAATGATCCTGTTTCTCCTCCATAATGCATGCCCTTACTGGGATGTAAATTAGCTCTACTGAGGTTCCCTTTGACTGTCTGCATCCCTTTTGCTCTATAAGCAATAACAGTAACGGTCTGAAGTGTGTAACTCAGAGAAACTAAATTTCGGGAGAAACTATGATGCCATTACAAGAAGACCACATCCATTCAAATTAAAGCTTCTTAAAAACTGTCTTTACATTTCTGATAGCTTGGTTAGATAAAAATAATCAGTTTATACATATGAAGACACATTCATGTGACTCATGTGACAGAGCAACTAAAAGCAGTATAAATGCATGTGCTTTAATGTGTAAAGATTTGAAAATCAGACATATTTTTTTTTTAAAAGCATTTAGTAGATATACTACTTCCCGCCTCCTTGCATTACTTGTTTCGAGGTTTTTAATTTTTTTTTATTATTCCCCTTCCCTTTTAATGCTGGGGGGAGGAGGAGGAATACTGGGAGGGAGAGGGTTAATTCTGGGGTGAGGGGAATACTGGGAGGGAGAGGGTTAATTCTGGGGTGAGGGGAATACTGGGAGGGAGAGGGTTAATGCTGGGGGGGATACTGGGAGGGAGAGGGTTAATGCTGGGGTGGGGGAATACTGGGAGGGAGAGAGTTAATGCTGGGGTGGGGAAATACTGGGAGGGAGAGGGTTAATTCTGGGGTGAGTGGAATACTAGGAGGGAGAGAGTTAATGCTGGGGTGGGGGAATACTGTAACGGAGAGGGTTAATGCTGGGGTGGGGGAATACTGGGACGGAGAGGGTTAATGGGAAAACTGGGACGGAGAGGGTTAATGCTGGGGGGAATACTGGGACGGAGAGGGTTAATGGTGGGGAATACTGGGAGGAGAGGGCTAATGCTGGGGGGGGGGTTGGAGGAGAGGGCCATGCTGGGGGATTATTGGAGGAAGAGGGTTAATGCTGGGGGATTATGGGAGGAAGAGGTTATGCTGGGAGGGAGAGTGTCAATGCTGGGGTGGGGGAATACTGGGAGGGAGAGGGTTAATGCTGGGGGATAATACTGGGAGGGAGAGGGTTAGTGCAGAGGAGGGAATACTGGGAGGGAGAGGTTAATGCTGGAGTGGGGGAATACTGGTAGATAGAGGATTAATGCAGGTTACTGCTGGGGGGAATGCTGGGAGGGAAGGGTTAATGCTGGGGGAGGGAATAATGGGATGGAGAGGGTTAATGCTGGGGGAGGGAATAATGGGAGGGAGAGGGTTAATGCTGGGGCAAGGGATACTGGGAGGGAGAGGGTTAATGCTGGGGCAAGGGATACTGGGAGGGAGAGGGTTAATGCTGGGGCAGGGGACACTAGAGGGAGAGGGTTAATGCTGGGGGTGGAATACTTGGATGGAGAGGTTTAATGCTGGGGGAATACTGGGAGGGAGAGTGTTAATGTGGTTTAGGCGGCTACGAGGTCTTAGGTGTTTGCCTAAACCGCCTAATTAGCCTGGAGTGATTGCATGCCAGGATGCCTGGCCAACTGAGAACAGATCCTACAGGGAGCACTAAGGCCTTAATCATAGCACAAAATGTTGGGGACAATTGCCTGGTGTCTCCAAGAGTGGGACAGCAGGGAACTAAGATGGAGTGGCTGCACAGGACCCGAAAATTGGGATGGTCAATCAGTCATCAAAACTCCATAGGTCAAACCAGGGTGGATCAATTCAATGAGGTGTGGCTTAATTTTTCCACATGTCTAGTTCCTGTGTTTGAATCCAACGCCAGGATTTGCAGAGTATTTATATGTTTTTTAAAATGGGAAGCATGACCATAACATCAAGTGGGTTATTCACTAAAGTGAGAAATACAAGGAATTCAAAATTAATTTTAAAATTAAGGCTAAAGTAGCTGAACTGTTAAATATTTTGCTCTTTCATTTGAAAATCACTTTGAATTCTCAGTTTAGTGGAAAACCATTAAAAAAATTTAAATAATTTTTATAAATATATATATATATATATATATATATATATATTAAAATAGACTGTCTTATAATATTGGATGTAGAGAAAGTTATACTCAGCTTTTTGGTACTATTTTTTGGAATATTTATAGAGCATCAAGAAATTATGCATGCAGCAGTGTATAACAGTTGGACTAACGAATAAGTAGTTGCAAGAGTGTTGGATGTACAGGAACAGGTTAGTTTTTTTAGATTATGCAATTGCAGGAGAGAAAGTGGGTTAGGGAGGTGTGGGAGGGAATAGTTTAACTGATATGCCTACTTGAGGAAGTGAGTTTTCACTGAGAGCAGCATAGAACATCCCTGCCATTCTGGGGACATACTGGCTCCCCGACAATCCCATGCTGGCGGTCGCGATCCTGGGGACTGCCTGAAATTTTATTCAGGAGAAATAGGGCTTTCGTCTAACATCACATATTTATATGAAACATAATTTAATATGAATAAAATATAAAAAAAAAGTGAGAAATTAAGAAATTTTATTTTTTTAGTTCTGCATGACATTTTAACTGTGAATGTCATAATACTGTTTGCTTTCACTGCAATAAAATACACATATTTGTATTTAGCGATGTCTCATGTGTAAAACAGTACCCACTATGTACAGGTTTTATCCTGTTTTGAGAAGATACAGGGTCAAATATAGCATGTTACATTTTTCAGTTTTTTCACATTGAAATTCGCCAGATTGGTTATTTTGCCTTTGAGATAGTATGGTAGCCCAGGAATGAGAATTACCTCCATGATGGCATACCATTTGCAATAGTAGACAACCCAAGGTATTGCAAATGGCATATGTCCAGTCTTTTTTAGTAGCCACTTAGTCACAAACACTGACCAAAGTTAGCGTTAATATTTGTTTGTGTGTGAAAAATGAACGCCAATTTTGGCCAGTGTTTGTGGCTACTAAAAAAGACTGGACATACCCCATTTACAGTACCTTGACTTGTCTACTTTTTTCAAATGGTATGCCACCATGGGGGTGTAACGGCACCCCAGGCATAAGAGGGTTAAACTGCCGTTTAGTAGATCTTCCCTTCCAGAGACACAGGCACAGCTACTGCAGAGCACCAAACTCCCGAACTGTATTCAAGGGAATGCTCCAAACTCCCGAACTGCATACAAAGTAGCACTCCAAACTCTCGAACTAGAACCTCACGAATAGCTGTTAGCAGACGAACAGGAAAAGCACCCAAGCAGCTTACACTCCTGGCAATCAGTCTCTAACAGCATAAAGTAAATCTCCCCAAAGACGAGACAGAGCTCCGTGTTGAGGGTCAAGCAGTGGTCTGGTTTATTGAGGGCTACCTGCCCAGTATTTATGCAGGTCTCCCAGCTGGTGGACACTCCCCTAGGGGACCAAATGGGAGACTGTGACAAAGGACAGACATGAACTAATGACAGACACACAGAGGTAAAACATCCCCACAAAGCATCCTAATTCCCCTCCCTCTGTCCTGGAGATAATTGGGAAGTAATCCAATTATCTCCCAGGATAGAGGCAAAACTCCATTAACTACATGGCAGTAAAAGACATAAAAATGTATAAAGTTACAACTGTTGCACAAAACATATACATTCTACCTATCCCCAAATAGCTTAGATCTGAGCGCACATTATTACAGGATGGCGCTCAGATCACATACATACAGTTCAATCGCCGTGGAGCCAAAGTCTTTCCCATAGTCTTTTGTTACACGAATAGGCTCCATGGCATGGCTATCTGGGGTAATGCTGTTCATACGGTTAAACTACCGAATGAACAGGCATCCGGTTAAATGACCGAATGCAGAAGCAAGGAGGCTGACGGCTCAGCGGTGTTCGCGCAAATAAGTGTCCGTTTCCAGTTCCATAGTTTGGGCGCCGAACACCGCTGGCAGTTCAGGACTTTAAAATGGCCGCCGCCACGTGTTCGGCAACCGAACAAAGGCCACCCAGCAAAATTCATATACAAACACAAAGATAAAGCACCGCGCTTACAGCAGCAGTGGCTTAGTATCCAACAGCTTAAAATACATAGTAAAAACAAAGAAAAACATTACCTGCGCTCTGGCCTAGATCCCCATGTGCATTTGAACAAAAATGGAGGCTCTTTAGTTCTATTCTAAATGGCCATTTGAATATATAAGCTCACCAGCCATGTCAAGGCAAGCCTCAATAGGTGAGTTCCTACACTAGCCATTAGTTACGCTGATATCAGCCAACAGCGTATCTAATGGCTAGTGTAGGAACTCACCTATTGAGGCTTGCCTTGACGTGGCTGGTGAGCTTATATATTCAAATGGCCATTTAGAATAGAACTAAAGAGCCTCCATTTTTGTTCAAATGCACATGGGGATCTAGGCCAGAGCGCAGGTAATGTTTTTCTTTGTTTTTACTATATATATATCTATGTATGTATGTATGATCTAACTATATTATTTTATTTTACACTGTTTTAAAACTTTATTTAACTTTTTTTCAGGCAGCATGGGGACTAGCTCTCTTTCCTACATTTCAGGCACTCCCCCTGCTGGCACTGCTATGGACTGCTATTTCGTCCATGTGACCGTGAGGTCCTTGCAAGGACCTTGCGATCACATGGCCCAGGAAGGTCAGATCGGCGGCAGGGGGACTCCCTGGGATGTCAGGTAAGTACCCTCATCGTGATCGCCGGCGTGGACGTGTTATGCTGCCTGCTGGTGTTTAGAACCGGGTCCCTGAGGACAGTATAGCACGCCCCCAATCCTTAAGGGGTCAATATACGTATATATTTGTATCAGAATACCCTTAGGATGAAAAAAATATATATATATTTAAATTCTACCTATATATTTATGTAATATTTTTACATAACTAATTTTATTTATTACTGTTTGTAGGACCTGCCTGACAACCGAGGCATAAGGTCCTGAGAATTAAAGGAAAAATATGGAGTCAGGAACACAAACATGTATTCCTGACCCTATAGTGTTAAAACCATCTAGCTCCCCCCCCCCCACCCAAACCCCTTTGCCTCCCTAAATATAGTAAAATCTTACTTGTATTCAAGTCTGCAGCTTCTGCCTTTGCCCCTGATCTGCCTGCTTCGCTGACATAATCAGAAGTGATTCTTTGAGCCAATCACAATGCTTTCCCATAGGATTGACTAAGACTGTCAAGTAGACAGATCAGGGGCAGAGCCAGGACAAGCCAAACACAGCCCTGGCCTATCAGAATCCCCTCATAGAGATGCATTGAATCAGTGCATTTCGATGAGGAAAGTTCAGTGTCTCTTTGCAACCATCTGAGGAGTGGCCAGTGGAGGTATCACTATGCTGTAACCAAACACTGAAAATACAGTGTTTACCGCAAAAAGCCTGAAGTTAATGATTCTACTCACCAGAACAAATACAATAAGCTGTAGTTGTTCTGGTTAATATAGTGTCCCTTTAATTTTACAATACAAGCCCTATATTTAACCCTGTAACTTTCCAAAACACCATAAAACCTGTACATGGGGGATACTGTTGTACTCGTGAGACATCGCCGAATACAAATATGTATATTTTATTGCAGTAAAATCAAATAGTGTTATGACATTCATAGTTAACCCCTTAAGTACGGCGGGCGTACTATGCCGTCCTTGAAGGGGTGGACTTAAACGCCGGAGGGCGGCATAGTATGCCCAGCCGTCCTCCCGTCGTCCTGCCGATCGGGACTTACCTGGGCAGACGACCTCGGACGCGGGGGCACTCCCTGTGTCTGGCTGGCAGGCAGTGTGTGTGTGTCTGTGTCTGGCTGACTTGCAGTGTGGTCTGTGTCTGGCTGGTTGGCAGTGTGTGTCTGTGTCTGGCTGGCTGGCAGTGTGTATGTCTGTCAGTGTGTGTTTGAGTGATTGTGTGTGTCTGTGAGGGAGTATGTCTGTCAGTGTGTGTCTGTGACTGTGAGGGAGCCTGTGTCTCTGAGTTATTGTGTGTGTCTGTGAGGGAGCCTGTGTGTCTGAGTAATTGTATGTGTCTGTGAGTGAGTGTGTCTGTCAGTGAATGTGTCTGTGTGTATGCCTGTTTGTGTGTGTATCTGAGCCATTGTGTGTGTATGTCAGTAATTGTGTGTCTGTGAGTGAGTCAGTGATTGTGTGTGTCTGTCAGATTGTGTCAAATGAGTGTGTGTGTGTATGTCAATGTATCTGAGGGTGTGTGTCTGTAAGTCAAAGTGTGTGTGTTAGTCTTTAACAGGAAAAGGTGGGGCATTGACCGGAAGAGGTGGGACAAATGTAACTTAGCGGGTGCCCAAGTTCCGTCATGCCTAGGGCAGCACAGATCCAAAATACCACTGGCACCCACACGTATTATATACACTTATTATGTGTGTGTGTGTAAATATATGTGTGTGTGTGTGTGTATAAGCTGAAGTTGTTCAGGTGACTATAGTGTCCCTTTAATATGAAATAGATGAATTATGGTTGAACAAACATATAGCGCAAATTCCAGGTTTTGTTTTGATAAGAACCTTTACAATTCTATGTATGTATACATACTTGCTGGCAATTGTTCACTGAAAAGGCAGTGTTTACATTAAGCTGTAGTTGTTCTGGTGACTATAGTGTCCCTTTAAAAGTCAGTACAAAGTCTGTTGTAATGTTACCAATAGGCATGTGCATGGGAAAATTTTTCGGTTCGGCATTCCGGAACTTCGGCGACTTCGGAATTTCGGAACGTCTCTTGCAGCCGCTTGGTGGATAACTCCCTAATTCCCACGGTATTAGGGAGTTATCTACCAAAAGGCTGAAAGACCTAAATTGGTCTTTCAGACAAATTTACTAATACTAAGTAAAAATTACTTAGTATTAGTAAATTGTGCCCCTACTCGCTATACCGCGAGTAGGGGCATGTCTATTAAACATTGAGCAGCTAAAAAGCTGTTAAAACGAATAAAAAAAATTTAAAAAAATGGGTCCCCCCCTCCCGAGCCCCCACCCGCGACGCGCGATTGGGGTTTTTTAAACTATGGGGGGGGGGGGCTATTGAGCAGGTGTAGAAGGTCCCCCCCACCCACCGCTCAGGGCTGGGGACCAGGGGGGAGGACATTAGGTCCCCCCCCCCAATTAGTGTTTAGGGCCCCCACCCACCGCTCAGGGGTGAGGTCCATGGGGGAGGACATTAGGTGTGTCCCCCCCAATTAGTATTTAGGGCTCCCACCCACCGCTCAGGGGTGGGGGCCAGGGGGAGGACATTAGGTGTCCCACCTAATTAGTATTTAGGGCCCCCACCCACCGCTCAGGGGTGGGGGCCAAGGGGGAGGACATTAGGTCCCCCCCATTACTTTACTTTAGGGCCCCCACCCGCCGTTCAGGGCTGGGGGCCGAGGGGGGGACACAATAGGTCCCCCCTTCAGGTTAGGAGGGGGAGGAGCGACGTTTTGGGGGTTTTTCTTTTACAGTGAGCAAGCTGCTTACTGTTTAATAGATATGCCCCTACTCACGGTATAGCGCGTAGGGGCATAATTTTCTAATACTAAGTAATCTTTACTTAGTATTAGTAAATTTGGCTGAAATACCAATTCAGGTCTTTCAGCCTTTTAGTAGATAGCTCCCTAATACTGTGGGAATTAGGGAGTTATCCATAGGCGTGCGCACGGGGTGTGCCGGGTGTGCCTGGGCACACCCTAATCCCCGTGGCACGCCTATGGTTTGAGTCCTGCAGGAACAGCGTTCCTGCACTTTTTTTGAGCAGGAACGCTGTTCCTGCAGGCACTCAGTGCCCCCTGTTTCACCTCTTGCCCCTGTCATGGGGGGGGCAAGAGGTGATGGATTCCCCCCCGTTCAGCGCGCGGCGAGGGAGCTCTATGCTGTCTGCTCTCTGCTCCCTCTCGCCGCGCGCTGATGCCGGGAGCCGCAATATGACGTCATATTCCGGCTCCAAGCTCCAGCAGACAGCCCGCGCGGCGAGAGGGAGCAGAGAGCAGACAGCAGACAGCTCCCTCGCCGCGGCTGAGCTGGAGAGAGGCGCCCGCCCCCACTGGACCCCAGGGAAAAGTCCACCAGCACTCCAGGTAGGAGGCTGGGTGGACATTTTTTTTTTAAATTAAAATATAATAATTTGTGTGTGTGTGTGTGTGTGTCAGTGAGTGTGTGAGTGTCTGTGAGTATGTGTGTGTGTCAGTGTGTGAGTGTCTGTGAGTATGTGTGTCTGTGAGTATGTGTGTGTGTCAGTGTGTGTGTCTGTCTGTGAGTATGTGTGTGTGTCAGTGTGTCTGTCTGTGAGTATGTGTGTGTGTCAGTGTGTGTGTCTGTGAGTGTCTGTCTGTGAGTATGTGTGTGTGTCAGTGTGTGTGTGTGAGTATGTGTGTGTGTCTGTGAGTATGTGTGAGTGTGTGTGTGTCTGTGAGTGTGTGTGTGTCTGTGAGTGTGTGTGTGTCTGTGAGTATGTGTGTGTGTGAGTATGTATGTGTGTGTGTCTGTGAGTGTGTGTGTGTGTACGTATATATATATATATATATATATATATATATATACACACACACACGCAGAGCCGGCGCTATCTGAGTGCCGGCTCTGCTCTAAGCCTTCATGGGCCGGCGGGGAGACCAAAGATCTACCTCACCGGCCCACAGCAGCATGGAGGGAGGCAGTAGAGGACCCAGGGAGCTCTAGACAGAAGCTCCGCCAGGTTCCTCTCGCGATATCTGAGCGTTGCTGCGGCAACGCTCAGATCTCGCGAGAGTTAACTCTAGCCCCGCAGACTAGAGTTCACTCTCCACTGGACCACCAGGGATGGCACATGGCAGCAAGGATTTACTAATCTGCCAAATCCCTCCAAACATACAGCACACACACATACAGCACCTACACACATACAGCTCACACACACACAGTACACTAACCGCACCCTCACAAACACACACATCACCTTTAAAAAAAACACAACACCCTCACACACAGCACACTAACAGCA